TTAATATATATTCTGATTTTATTCTTACAAGAGAGCATTAGATTTCATTCAAATAGAATTTGTTTACATGAAGTTCCTTATCACAAAATCAATCTTACCAGCAGGGCTATTTTATATGGACTGTGGGGCAGGGACCATCTTTTTGTTCTGTGTTTGTACAGCACCTAGCACTGTGGGGTCCTAGTCTATGAGTAGTGCCCTGAGGCACACTATAATAAAATAATATTACAATATAGTGATAATTTAAGTGTTTCCAAAAGATAACAAAACTCCAATTCAAAAAGCAAAGAAACCTTTAGTTTTGTAGGGACTGGCCACAAACACAATGAGAGTAGCATTTTGTGGAACACCACAGCTGGGCTACACTTCAGGATTCAACAGTATTTCTGTCCCAAATCACAAACTAATTACCATGGACAGAATGATATGCCTCCCCAAATGGGGGTGGAAGGATTATGCAGAGAAAAATAAATAACTGTCATCCAAAATTTATTCTCCATCAACATGATGGAGATGTCTCCATACACACAATGTCTCCATCAACATGAAGAATTCAGTTGCTTCAGTGAATGAGAGCTTGAAGCTGAGAGTTCAGGTATCAGACTAACAGAGGTCAAAGCACAATCCATCTATTATTCAATCACATACATTAAACCACTAAAAATGTGGAAGGCTTAGCATTAATACTCCATGTCATGCTGGAGAGATGCATTTAACTTCTGCTTTGTCTCTGTCTGCCTTGTCACTAGGATACTGTCATTCTGCTAAAAAGCAGAATCTCCAGATGCTATAGGAGCCACACTGATGAGCACAAGCACGTTCTACCCAGCAGATTACAACCAGGAAGTGGGGAAATGATTGTGGGAGAGGAAAGGCAGGGGAAATGTAGCAGAAATGAATACTCCAGCTTTGTTCAGGAATGGGGAGGATCTCCATTCCCAGGGACAGGAAGGCTAGTAATGGGCAGGACAAACAAAACAATGTTTTCTTTACCTAAGAGGTGGATCTCAGTTACCAACACTTTCGATTGCACTGCATTTTCAAGCTGATAATGAAGATCAAATACTGTTGACATTTTTGTCAATAGCAAGAACATAAACAGCTAAGATCACAGCCATATAACACCACACATCATGAATTTATTGATTCTCCTTTGAATAAAAGGAACAAAGCTCATTAGTAAATTGCTTTTACTGAAAAACTGCAGGCAGGCAGTGCTCAAATTATAAATCTGAGGCAGTCTGAAGTTTCTCTTTCAAAATATAGGCTACAGGGCAAGTACAGTCAGCTTTAAGGTAGGTCAAAATTTGGGCATACATAGGCTGACAACATCTGCTTTAAATCAATGACTAAAAAGAATCTCCAAGGATTTGAGTTGATGGAAAAAGTAGATGATAAAGTATATACAGGGTGCATATATGCAAGCTTACTAATTATGTCTTTTCTAGTTAAACAATTTGTCTCATTTTCCCAGTGGGTTCGAGCTGGTTAAATTTTTCTGCTGTTCCTGGAAAGGAGTCTACGACATATTATGCCTAACAGCAAACCAACTCCTCTAAGGTCTCAAACTGTAAACTCATGATGACTGATCTGATTTTGCTCAGCCTCTGAGTCTTCTTTAGCTGTCCAGAAGAATCTCTGAAAGAATTACTACTGAGATTACTTCAGAAGTAATCTCATTTTTCCTCTATGAATTTATAACTTTGCAACAAAATGTTGAAGTAGAGTCATATTGCACATAAGATGGAATCTGTTAGCATCAAACTATTTACCCACAACTACACCCTGGTGGTCCTAAAGAGAAAGGTTGTTTCATCAGGGTGCAGAGTACAGTTTCTGTTCTGACCTCCAGAATATTTAATAGTAAGAAAGAAAGCTGCAGAATTCAAGAGTTCAATGTGCTGAAAAGGTGTAGTTTCAAACTGTAGAACAACTGAAAATTATGCAAGTTTAGAGACTGGCATTTTCACAGTCCCACTAAGGTCAAATTACGCAGTACATTTTAGGTTTCTGCTCCACAACAATTTTTTTAATACTTGTCAGGGTGTTAATTACATACAATGATCTGTTTTAAGTAATAACGATGGACTGTGCTTTCATCAGTCGATACACAGACCTTGGCTCTGGATAGTCAAAGTACAGCAGAGTACCAGAAGGAGGGTGTTTATAGGCCAACAAATGCACAAAATGAAGTATTACTAAATGGATCTATAAAACATTACTAAGACTTTAAAATGTTTATTAAATATTAATCTACCAAAGAAGATTATTCCAGTGTAGTTTGTTTATTTGATACAACTAGAGACTGAAAAGTTCTAAAATTGAGTGAGGATACAAACAAAAATGCCACTTTTTGAACCTCTTGGGGTTGAACTAGCTGATGGATTTGTACTCTGGAGAGGGAACCAAGGGCTTATCTACATGAATTGCTCCAGAGGCATAACTTCAACCTATATATATAGCCAAGAGGCAGTAGCTAGGTCGACCAAAGTATTCTTCTGAATTAGCGCCGTCTACACCAGATCAGGTTGGCTTAACTACATCCCTCTGGGGTGTGGATTTTCCACACTCCGGAGCACATAGCTGGGTCAACCAAGCATTTTAGCATACACAAGACCCAATATTCAGCCATTCCACCTCAATGAGTATTCCAATAGATCCTATAAATTAACTTTGAGATAAAAGTAATACTGCAGCAGATTCCTGGGCAGGCGGTAGACAACAAATCTCCTTACTACCCCCACCAGGAATCTGTTGCAAGTTAATGCTGAAGAGTCAAGTACAACCCCTTCCTACTGTAGCCAGTGAGCAAATACCTGTGGGTTTTTGGCATCAAGCCTCTGTCTAATTCTGTAAGAAGGGAACAAGGGACCTCGCTGTCTTTCCTGATGGAAGAATTAAGAGAAAACTGCAAGGAGAAGCTTGTAGAATTTTCAGACCCACGTACAAGATGCTCCCAAATAAGGCACCAGATGGGTCTTTTTCTTTTCGACTTTCAATGACTCTTAGGCTTTTAAATGCTTACATTTCCTTTGAATGTAGGACTTAGGCACTTTTGAAAATATTACCATCTTGACCCCAATATATTCATTTGGGCACGGAGGTGTCACATTACAGTTACTAGGGATATCCAGTAGAACCTCAGCATTACAAACACCTTGGGAATGGAGGTTGTTCGTAACTCTGAACAAAACATTATGTTTGTTCTTTAAAAAGGTTACAACTGAACATTGACTTAATACAGCTTTGAAACTTTACTATGCAGAAGAAAAATTCAGATTTTAACCATCTTAATTTAAATGAAACAAGCAAAGAAAGTTTCCTTACCTTGTCAAATAATTTTTTTTTTTTTTTTTTTATTTTACTCTTCT